AGCCACAATGCCCGTTTCGAACAAGGTCTTGAAACTTACACTCAAGGTATATAATTAATATTAAAGCTAAATCCCCATAGCTTAGTATATGTGTCATTTAGGTATCAACAAGTTCGCTGACATGACACTCGCTGAATTCAAAGCCATGCTCGCCCTTCAAATTCGCAGCAGACCTACCTACCAAGCTGACAAAGTATTCGAACTCCCAGAAGGAGCTACCGTTCCAGACTCCATTGACTGGAGAGAGAAGAACGCCGTCAACCCCATCAAAGACCAGGAATCTTGTGGATCGTGCTGGGCTTTCGCTATTGTAAGTCTATATAGAAATTATTTTTAGCCCAGTTTATGTGATACTTCATTTATTTTAATTCTTTTAATTAATTATTTTAATTGTTTTGTCTAATTGGACCCTCATATAGTATAATTTTTAATTGTCTACATAATTAATATTTAACCGTATATGAGATTAATTCGATCCTTAGGTTGGATCTACTGAAGGTGCCTACGCTATCAAAACAGGAAACCTAAGCAGATTCTCCGAACAACAACTTGTTGACTGTACCACTGACTTCAATTTAGGTTGCAACGGTGGATATTTGGAATTAACCTTCCCTACATTCAAAAGAATGGTCTTGAATACGAATCAGACTACCCATACACAGGTAAGATATGTTTTTATATGCGAAATTTAAAAACAACTTGAACGTTTGACTAAGTCTGAAAATGGTTATATAGGTGAAGACGGCACTTGCCAATATGACTCTTCCAAAGTAGTAACCAAGATCAGTTCCTACGTCAGCTTCAACAGCAGTGAAGACACATTGAAAGAAGCCGTAGGAACTGCTGGACCAGTAGCTGTTGCTATCGATGCTGACTACATCATGTTCTACGACAGTGGTAAGTTTGCATAAACTGTATAACCTACTAATAATATATATTCATTGTATTTTATATTTAATTTGATTTATTTGGGTATTACAAAGAAAATATTTGTTTATAGGAATCTTCAACGACTCTAACTGCGACCCCGACTACCTGGACCACGGTGTCTTGGTTGTAGGATACGGTACTGAAAATGGACAAGACTACTGGCTGATCAGAAACTCATGGGGAAGTTCCTGGGGTGAAGCTGGATATTTCAGATTTGCACGTGGAGTTAACCAATGTGGTATCAATGCCGACAACACCTACCCCATCATATAAATGATTTAATTCACATTCATTTTATTTCAAAATTACTAAAACCTACTTTAATAGTACTACTAGTATTAACTAATACTAAAAAAGATCTTGTGAGCAATTATAAAATAGTAAATCAATAAAAATATTTTAAATTCATCTCTATCGCTTTTTTACTATCATATCTCTTTAATTTAAGTAAGTCTATTAGGAACACCTTTCCAGTCATATAATTTATTCCTCCTTATTTTTTAAATTAGTATTAGAAAAATATATATTTTTTTAATTTTGTGATATGAGGCAATGTTCAAATGCCGAAATGAACTGGAGTTTTGGGTATTTTATAATTTGCCAAAGTACTGCCGTCAAAGCGTGAAAATAAAATCAAAAATACTGTTAAGTATAATAGTACAATAAACAAAAGATGTTATCGTGGGGACTGTAATAAAAAAGAAGAAAGATATTATTGATCAAAATCTATAGTAAGATTAGCCATGAAACATGACTAAAATGTAACTACCTGTAGACACTTAGTGTTTCTGCTTTCCGGCTTCATCAATACGGGAGGAATCAGCAACGATGAACTAGTGATCCTGAAAAAAGAAAAAAGAAAGTAAACGAGGCACGAGGCACCATTTGCAACTTGCTTAAGCAGTCCATTTTAGTAATTTTAACAATATCAAATTCCGACTATTTAAAATGAGATGATGAAGACATCATTATTATCAATACCGCAGACAACGCAGGATCTAACGCAAGACGTTTCTTGGTTTTGCAATATAAATATAAATATGCTCAGAAAGGAACACATTCTGAATAATTACTTGTTCTCATTTGTTTCTTTTTTTTAATAAGTATTTTGAAATTTCTTTAATTTTTCTCTGGAATAAGAAGAATAAGAAATAAAGGGAAGGGCATTTTGATTCCTAGTACATTTAAAGGTGTCTCAGGCGGAGCGTCCATTAGAAGTTTCTAGAGAACTAGAATATCTAGATCGGAGATTTTTTGCACATCATTATTTCACAATGAGATCTATCAATTAAAAATATATTCAATATGGCGGCACTTCCGGAAATACCGGAAGTTGACAGCAACTTTCTTATTATAAATGGGTACCCCCACTTTTTATTACATATTTAAATACCCTGTAAAACTTTATGAGTTTTTGTCAAACACTCAATACTTAACATTAACTGTTTTTGAGAAAAAAAATATTTAAAATTTTTGGAGAAAATAAACTGTCAAAAAAATGTGTTTCAGGTTACATTTGACCTAAAAAAAATTGGGAGAAATGCAACGATATCTTGAGGTTCCTTTTTGAATTTGAAATATAGAAATTTGGTAAAAAATATACATTTTGAAACATTATTCCAATAATGTTTTTTTTTTAGATTTCCGGATCCCTGGGTGTACATTAGGCATATACTGAAGTTCAAACTAACCCAGACAAAGGTCAGTCTTGAGTGAAGATAATTTCTGGTTCCTTTTTTATGTCAAATTTTAATGAAAACCCCAGTTTTACAGTCTTAAATGCGATCGTAAATAAAGGCAACAAGAACGGTGTAATAAAACGATTTGGCTGATAAACAAACCATTTACGATCCGTTTCCAGCATCCCCCGCCCCGCTTTATAAACGTAAACAAAAACAATCGACGTTAACACATTTTTTACCTTCTGCACTGCAATGAACTTCCTCTTCGTCATTTAGTTCATCAGATAGATGGGAAAACTAATGACCCAAAAGGTTTTACTGGCCCTATGGGAAAGCAGCTAAGTAATTGTGATAAAATGCCTGTTGTGCCATTTCAAAGAATTAAACCTGATGTTGAATTGCCTTCAACTGATGTTTGTGATTTGAGTACAGACCAAAAGTACTTGTACGAAATGGTTCAGGCAATAGGAGAAGGCACAGTTTTCCCCCCAGTTGGCAGCTAAACAGCCAGGAAATATCTCCCATGCACGATGGTTAACAACCGCGAACAGAATACTAAGACTATCGACAGAAGGACCATACGAAAGTATACGCCATAACCTGGTTTCTTGTAAAGCACAGGTCAGCTTGTAAGTATGGATTCAAATATTTGTTCCATTTAATCCTTCTCTCTAAGCTTCTCGATATTTACCGACCAAATTCAAAGATACCGTGAATAAAGTTATTCAAAGAAATGCTTTCTTTGCTCATACCGAGAATGTTTTACTTGCAATGCTTGCAGATGACATAAAACATATTAGAGAATTGGCATTGCGTTGAATTTTAAAGAGTCGAGTTTCAAGTGTCAAAACATTGCAAAACATGCTACCGATTATATAGAGCTAATAGATTGGCAATCAGATGAAGTCACAAAACCTCCACTAATCAAAAGTATCTCAGAAGCAGATCTTAGAAGAATTTTATTATTATATTTTATTATTTATTATTTAATTGTTAACATCCCCGAAACTATCGAAATTCTAAATTTTCCGTGCCACACTCAGGCTGTTGAAAGACATATTAAGATGGTAACTGCGGCGTCGACGTTAGTATGTGGAAGCACTTCCAGGAATGGATTGATTCGGGTAAAAATTTCTTCTAGAAAAGCGACTCCAAAAATGGAGACAAAGAAAGATTTTATCACCCAGTAGGAATTTAGAATAATGGGAGGGTGGGGAGGTTGGAATCCGTCTTGCAGCCACCTCCTCGTGGTGTGTTTTTTTAATGATTAAAAAAACAAGCGAAGCAAAAAAAATTTTTTTTTCCAATTTAAAGATGAAAAAGGAACCTGAGAGACTAAATATTTTCAAAAGAAAATTCACAGGTATATTTATTTAACTAAAAGACAACAATTTCATACCCAGGCGAAACAAAAATATCAGTTTTATTTTTTACACCTATGGCCATTGCTCCGCCCTACTGGATACGTCAATCAATCCTAATTTTTATGTCATATACTAACATACCAAATCTCGTTTTTCTATCTGAAAAAATAAAAAAGTTATATGGATAAGCCACTTTTGAGACGTAGGTTACCCGGTATCTTATCGCCATTTCAGTAGTATACATGCAAGTTTTTAAAATAGCTTATATTTTTCTACATACATTTTCCTACAAACGTAAAAAACCGGCAACACTGTAGGCCGCTTTTGATTTTGTCTCTCTGTCTGCCAACCGGTTATTTATATTATTCTCTGTCACACTCATTAAAATCCAGACCACATAAATTGGATGGCCAGCAGGGTATATGGAAAGTGACGAAACTATAAAGGCACGTTCAGTATACCTGCCCCGCTGGGAACAGTACCAGATTTTAGTTGTTTGGAAAAACTATGCTAGATTTATCATACCTTGGTGATATATTACCCTTTGATAAAACAATCTATATTAAGAGTTTGGCGTGGTTTTTTGTAGAACTGAACTATAATAAGCTCCTGTAGCAGCAGTGGAGGATATCCCACCAGAGACACATTACTAGTAAATAAGATACTGTGTTTCGTTGCTACTTAGTTCTTTTTTCGTAGCTCAAAATTGTTTGTAATCATTGTTCAGTCAAAACTACTCATGCTTCAGCAAAAGCAGAACTAGATTTCGCTTTCAGTGAAAGTATTAATATACTGATCAGTTTTACTGAATATGGATTCTCTCGTTCGGTATTCGTTTGGTCTAAAAATCTGTCTCACTCCTTCAAACTGACACGTGAGAACCTTGCTTACGAATCATTCAAAATTTCCATAGTTCAGAGTGATTTGTAACAAGTGGTTAAGCCAATTATTTTATAGATTTTATACTTAACGCTTTGATATCTCAAGAGCTCTTCAAATTGTCTTAAGTCATCGCTAATTTTTTTTTACTATAAATACTGCTTAGAAAACTAAATAATTTATTGTACCAGTATCCACTGAACAATAACAATGAAAGGTATTCTCTTGGCTAGTTTTCTAGTAGTTGCCGTCAGTGCTTCTTCTCTGCTTGAGCAGGATGGCGTCAAATTCCAATCTTTCAAGGTAAGATTTAATTTTTATAAATAGCAAATACCTTATTTATTAAAAATATAATTTTCCTTCTTTATTAATCGTACAGTTGAAACACGGCAAGACTTACAAGAACCAAGCCGAAGAGACCTCTCGTTTTGCAATCTTCAGAGACAACCTTCGTTCTATTGAAAGCCACAATGCCCGTTTCGAACAAGGTCTTGAAACTTACACCCAAGGTATATAATTAATATTAAAGCTAAATTCCTCATAGCTTAGTATATGTTTCATCTAGGTATCAACAAGTTCGCTGACATGACACTCGCTGAATTCAAAGCCATGCTTGCGCTTCAAATTCCCAGCAGACCTACCTACCAAGCCGACAAAGTATTCGAACTCCCGGAAGGAGCTACCGTTCCAGACTCCATTGACTGGAGAGAGAAGAATGCCGTCAACCCCATCAAAGACCAGGAATCTTGTGGATCGTGCTGGGCTTTTGCTATTGTAAGTCTATATAGAAATTATTTTTAACCCAGTTTATGTGATACTTCATTTATTTTAATTTTGTTTTGTCTAATTGGACCCTCATATAGTATAATTTTTAATTGTCTACATAATTAATATTTAACCGTATATGAGATTAATTCGATCCTTAGGTTGGATCTACTGAAGGTGCCTACGCTATCAAAACAGGAAACCTAAGCAGATTCTCCGAACAACAACTTGTTGACTGTACCACTGACTTCAATTTAGGTTGCAACGGTGGATATTTGGAATTAACCTTCCCTTACATTCAAAAGAATGGTCTTGAATACGAATCAGACTACCCATACACAGGTAAGATATGTTTTTATATGCGAAATTTAAAAACAACTTGAACGTTTGACTAAGTCTGAAAATGGTTATATAGGTGAAGACGGCACTTGCCAATATGACTCTTCCAAAGTAGTAACCAAGATCAGTTCTTACGTCAGCTTCAACAGCAGTGAAGACACATTGAAAGAAGCCGTAGGAACTGCTGGACCAGTAGCTGTTGCTATCGATGCTGATTACATCATGTTCTACGACAGTGGTAAGTTTGCATAAACTGTATAACCTACTAATAATATATATTCATTGTATTTGATATTTAATTTGATTTATTTGGGTATTACAAAGAAAATATTTGTTTATAGGAATCTACAACGACTCTAGCTGCGACCCCGACTACCTGGACCACGGTGTCTTGGTTGTTGGATACGGTACTGAAAATGGACAAGACTACTGGCTGATCAGAAACTCATGGGGAAGTTCCTGGGGTGAAGCTGGATATTTCAGATTTGCACGTGGAGTTAACCAATGTGGTATCAATGCCGACAACACCTACCCCATCATATAAATTATTTAATTCGCATTCATTTTATATTAAAATTACTAAAACTACTCTGTGAGTACTAAAATAGTATTAACTAGTATTAAAAAAGATCTTGTGAACAATTATGAAATAGTAAATCAATAAATATTTTTATCTCTTATCTTTTTTTACTATCATATCTCTTTAAGTAAGTCTATTAGGAACACCTTTCCAGATATATAATATCTTCCTCTTTAATTTTTAAGTTAGCTTTAGAACTATATATATATATATATATATATATATATATATATATATATATATATATATATATATATATATATATAAAATGAAAAGATGGTAAAGAGCGTTTTTCGGCCCGCTCAAATATATGAAATGAACAAAATTCTTACAGCTTTAGTGTATATTAATAAATAATATTTTCTTGCCTTTAGCTGTGTCTTTTTTCTAATTTCGAAAAATCGAAAGCAGAGAAAAAATTAAAAAGAAAATTGTTTTGCTTGTCGTAAAGGGGGAAACCAAGCTCCACTCCCACAACCGGTTTCTGGGCCTACCCTTCATCAGGTGGGCTGTCCAGGGGCTGGTTCTCACCGATACGGCAAGCAAAACTTCTTCTATATCACAGACGTTGTCGTAAAGTGTCGGTGAGATATTAGTGCATCTCCCGTCAAAAGATGGTAAAAGAGCGTTTTTCGGCCCGCTCAAATATATGAAATGAACAAAATTCTTACAGCTTTAGTGTATATTAATAAATAATATTTTCTTGCCTTTAGCTGTGTATTTTTTCTAATTTCGAAAATCGAAAGTAGAGAAAAGATTAAAAAAATTAAAAGTAAAAAGAAAATTGTCTTGCTTGTCGTAAAGGGGGGAACCAAGCTCCACTCCCACAACCGGTTTCTCGGCCTACCCTTCATCAGGTGGGCTGTCCAGGGGCTGGTTCTCACCGATACGGCAAGCAAAACTTCTTCTATATCAGCAGACGATGTCGTAAAGTGTCGGTGAGATATTAGTGCATCTCCCGTCAAAGATGTATATATATATATATATATATATATATATATATATATATATATATATATATATATATATATATATATATATATATAGTTGCTAAATTTTAGGCATTTTATTATTTGCCAAGGTCGTGCCGTCAAAACGTGGAAATAAAATCAAAAATACTATTGATTATAATAGTACAGTTATAGCAAAGTAATAAATATTTTTATTAAGCAAACATAAATAAATATTAAACTGAAATCCTTTGAAAATAATAAAATATCCTTATATGTATTTAAACATTTAGATAAGAATGTACCTACCTATAAATTATTAGTGCACTTCAAAGTCTATAACATTTCGAATTAGGTCGCAATGGTTGCAAACCACAGATTTGTGATTGATTGCAAACTAGTTACATTCGAATAGTTTCGTGTGGGGCTTATTACTACTATACACGTATGGCAAGATTTCATTAGCAATAGGAGCTTTTCAATGCGATAAAAAAAGATGGTAAGGCTGCAAAATACACTGCAGTACAACAGAAACGGACAAAGTGTCTTTTCCCTACCATTGTATAGGGGAAGTGATCATAGAAGTGATACTACGAGAGAGCTTCTGCGTGAGGGGGCGGGTCTTTCAGACGCTTGTGTGGAGGCTACCGGCTACTAATAGAATAGAATCGAAAAAATAGAAAGACGAAGGACAGTGTTGCCATTCTGTTAAATCAAAGTTATGTTGGCTTATCCTAAATCCCGAATCTTCTAATCCCATTACCTTGCCTACTTAATGAAATATTAAATAAAATAAATAATAATATAATAAATAATAAATAATGTTTATTCAAACTGATCCAATTACAAAGTATATACAAGACTTATACATAACTTACGAATACAAAATAGTGAATAAACATAATATCCTCTTAAGGTAGAACCTTGTCTGAGGAGTTTTATTTCTACAACAATAACTACAATATTTTATACTAAATTCTTAACTATATCTAAATGTATCAAATTAATATATTTCATTGTCCAACACTTAAGCACGCTAAAAAACAAGTTATTACACAGCGGTCAGATATTGACATAGGGTAGATTGCAAGTTCTAAGGCATATAAGATTACATTATTTTTTTTTTTCAAATATTATATTTATTGTGAATGGTTTTTAATATTTCACATTTTGCTGAGTATAAATGTATGCATTTCGGTTATTGTTTTACCAAGTATCCATTCTTTTAATCTTTTTTTTAAAAATATTAATGTTTTGACAATTAACAACTTCTTTAGGTAAAACATTAAAAATTTTAGGTCCTACATATAAATAACTTTTTTGTCCGATAGTTTTATGCATCCGAGGTAAGTATACATAAGTACAAAACAATTTTAAGAATGTTTTCTCTAGGCACATAACAACTTCTTTCTAAAACAAAAAGTAACATGCAGAACTTTAAAATAATTTCTAAAATAGCAAGTGCAATTCTATGAAATGGCTATGACACCGACCGGTCGGTCGGCGGCGGCGACAAAGGAATTAGGCCGAAAAAACTTCATAAAGGTGTAGCCGAACAGGGTTGCCGGTTTTTTTAGATTATAATTCCATACGAGAACAAAATTCTCGGTAGATATCCACCAAAAATCAAAAGTACAGAAACAAAATAAAATATAATATTTAAGTCCAAAATTAGTATTCGTATGTGTCGTAATACTAGATCACTCAAATAAAATACAAATATAGTAAATATAACAAGAATTAGAAATAGGTAGGTATATTATATTCAGTGCGAGATTCTGAATCATACGTTCTACTCGCCTGGGGTAGTTTTGTTTTAAGGTTCGACATTTCGTGGTTTAGAGGTTTGGCAATTTCAAGGCCACGCTTTTGATTAGAAAATTTTGAGGTTTGGATATGAGAATGGGATGGGACAGTGATTTCCCCAGAATGGTCTTGGGAGATAAGCTAAGGCTCGCGTGGGCAGGGGCACGTCCCTGCGTGACATTAGGGAAGTGGCAGGTAAACGGTGGTTAAATATAGCACAAAATAGGGAGACATGGAAAAGGATAGGGGAGACCTATATCCAGGAGTGGATGAATCCGGGTTGAGGAAGAGATATATTATTTAATATTAAAAAAAAATATATTGAATTAAACAATATTAATATATTAATAAAAACTATAACAAGTAGGGATAGAAGTCACTTTTTACCTTTGTACAAATTTTGATCAGTGATATCTAAAATTAATTTCATTTCAATGGGAAAGCTGTAGCAACTCTCAACTCTTTTTTCATATTAATATATTTTTTTGACAGGAAAAGCACTCAAATATTTATCCGTATTCACTTGTTTGTTAACTTAGATTTTGTTTTTTATTTATATTTTTTTGGGGGAAAATATGGGTTTAACTTTAGTAGATGAATGAAACAAAATCTTTTCAAAAGATATCAACTTCTTCGGGCATATCGCCAATACCGCGCCTAATAAAGAATAATAAGGATTTGTAGGAATATCTTTGTCACTCTGCAACTAGACAGAACGATGACCTATGATTACTAAATAAAATTTAACAAACCATAATAAAGTCAGATTAGACTAAAACGCAGTTGAACATATCGTTAGATTTTTGTTTAAATCGGTAGATCGGTAGCTTACAGACGAAACCGGTAGACCTGGCAACTCTGTGATGGACTGAGCTGATGGCGTTTTGCGGAGGCGCGGGAAGGGAAATAAAATAATGGCGATAAAGGGCAGGTGGATGGGTATCATAGGTGGATGGGAGGCGGCGGAATTTCCAAAATTTGTTATCTTATTGGAGTTTGTCTAACTCGACAGTCGTAGTGGAAGTGGAAACGGGGAAGTTGTTGTCCATCTCTGTTTAAGCTTAGACTTTCTATAGGCGTTTCATTCCAATGCATGTAACTCCTATGCCTAGATATTGTATTACCGGACCTGTATAGGTTGATTCACGGCGATGGCATGTTAGAAGTTTATGAAGAACCGGCGAAACGTAGAATTTTTTTGAAAATCAGGATTTTTACATAAAGGCACCTACTCCATCTATCAGATTTAATTACGCCGCTAAGAGACATCTGCCTAAAATTTCATAGTTATAGGACAGATTTTAAATTTTTCATACTTACAATATTTACCCCTTAATGTTGTTCCCTTAGAGGGCGATTTTTGTAAAATCTTGGTGCGTCGTTGGTTGGTGCCAATTACGTCACCTAAGGAGCGTCCGTGCAAAATTTCATGCTCCTAGAACAAATTTTAACAACTTTTTATACAACCATCTATCCCTAATTTCAACCTCTTAGCGGGAAGGAACGCATTTGCCAAAATTGGTGTTTGTATGTCAAGCAGTTTCGCTTTTTTTATTAATTTTCGGAAATTCAACCATTAAGGGGGTGAAACTACCGAGACTCGGGGTGGAAATTTGTGGATTTTTAAATTTGTCGTATAATGGATATTTGAAGTGGATATTTGATTTTTGGAGATTTATTCCCTACGAGGGTAAAATTAGGGGTGAAAGTTTGTACAAATATTTGTTAAAATCGCTTCTAAAAGTATGACATTTTGCACAGATGTTTCTTGGGTGATATAATTGGGCACTCAGGAGCGATTTCTGGAAATTGACACCATAAGAAGGTAAAACTACTGGTGAAATTTTGTATATTTTTTTTAAATTAGTTCTAGAGGTATGATATTTTGTATAGAGGTTCTTAAGTGGCGCAAGTGGGCACTTAGAAGCGGTTTTTTTGTAAACTCACCTTCAAAGAGGGTGAAATAAGGGATTAAAGTTGTTTCAAAAATTTGTTAAAATAGGTTTTAGAAGAATGAAATTTTGCGTAGAAGTCCCGTAGTTGCGTTAGGTAACGTACTTGAGCACTTAAGGGTACCGCAGTTTGGGGCGAAATTGATAACCGGGGGCGAAATTGATAATTACATGGTTTAGTCACACTTTAAATTTAGCGCCAAATTTATGCAACTAGAAGCAGTGGTTTGCATCAGTCTTGTTTAGTAAAGCTTTGATGACAAGACGTATGCAGTCGGGTGTGCCATTTTTTATCTATTTTTTGCAAAAAACGCGGTTAAAATTAATTTATTAAAATTAAAATTTTAACGAAAAATTAATTAATTAAATATAAAATTAATTTATTAAAAT